CCGGCCCCACTCTACGTTCCTTCATGCTACTCCTCCTCCCATGTTTAGGACCCTCTTCCAAGGAGGCATTCATACCTCTGCTTGATGAAACCCAACATTATCTTAAAGCGTCCACTCGAATACCGCCTGTTAGGTGAATCCTTACATACCATCCCCTACAAACCAATGGGCTCAACCCAGCCATAGTTATTGTAGTTGTTCTTGTATTTCAAAAACACTACAAAACACATCTATCAGGACTTGTTATATTGGTTCAGGCCATGAGCATCTTGAGCTGAGACACTGTTTTTATTCCTAGAGCTACCACATTGTCTAGAATATAGTAGCAGACCAATATACATGTATTAGAGAAATCATTTACCCAAATCTTGATCATTTTCACTCATAGGTTGAAGAATTCCATATTAAACATTGCTGACTTGAGAAATGAACTATCTACCTCTTCTAGGAAGTTGAAATGAGAATGTTTTATTGATGGGAAATTATTTTTTGTCTAACCTTCTAGAATTCAAATGAATGTTAATGCTCCATGAAGACAATAGTTTTTTTTTTTAAAAGATTTAGAACCAGTAGATTTTTATGAATGTGAACCCTTTCATGTCTTGTGGAAGATTTTCTGGTTTTTAATCTTTTTTTGTTGTTGTTATGTTTGAATAGGAACCAGGGAAAATGTGTAGAGGGCATGGTGGAGATCTTTGACATGTTGCTGGCTACATCATCTCGGTTCCGCATGATGAATCTGCAGGGAGAGGAGTTTGTGTGCCTCAAATCTATTATTTTGCTTAATTCTGGTGAGTTGATAATACAAGAGAATTCAATGCTGGATGAAATATTTATTTGTATTTTTCAACCAGATACTATGTACCCATTCCGAAAGCATAATGTCATAAACGGAAAAAAACTACTGACACGCATTTAAAATAACCTACCAACATTGCAGATTTCTTATGGGGTAGAACCATGCTAGCCAAGTAGACACATGAAAAATTGTAATTTGGCTTTGAATCAAATGGCCTTTGAGCTGAAATATTTGTAGGCTTTCACAGATATGAGGATGTTTTCATTCAAATGCTACATGTATATAGACATATGCTAGTTGATAGTTTTATTATGTCTGAAAATAAGTAGACCAAGTAACTCTGTTAAGAAATTGTGAACAATTCCAGGCTCCAGATAGTAAAGAAAGAGGGTTATTTGAGACAGACCATGTTTCTGGTCAAAGCTGATTAGCTAAAAATATAGTTGGCTTAGAGATAGAAAAACCTGTTTCTAAAACAGAAGAATGTGGAATGCAATAAATTGTCCAGCTGAAAGAGCATTTTCCATTTGGTCTATGAAGTCTCATTCTACTGTCCCTTCGTATTTATTTGTTTGAGAAAGCTTAGCAAAGAGCAGCGTCTGTTTTGTTTTTGTTTTTTGGTTTTTAATGTAGTGAGGTTGGTTGTTGTATAAAGAGTCACTCTGTGTCACCCTGATGGAAACTATGGTTCAGCCTGAATTAGTGCCCTGACTCCACTCAGCCTCTTGGTATTCGGATCTAAGCGTTAACTGTCTAAGCACTCATGCTCACATTGGGTGTCAGCTGTACAGCAGTCCCTTTAAGTTCGACCTTTTCCCCTGGCTCTAACCCCACTTCGTGCCTCGTCCCTCATTCTCACATAGAAATCACAGCTATTTTGAAGCCCTGGGCCTTAGTTTCTTATACCAGTAGACACAGTCTCAAATTCCTCAACAGCTGAACTGCAGCTTGTATTGATCACAAACATAGAGAATCAGCACTTCCTTCTCTTCCTATGTGTTTTTGTCTCTTTCTGATGAGTGCCAATCCCTTCCCACAATTTTCCACTTTTCTTCCCCACCGCTGCTAGTAACCTGCATTGCTTAATGGCTATCACAGTAATCATTCTCACTTATCAACTGATAAATGGAAATCTGTACTATTACACTAGGCAAGGACTGAATTACAGAATGAAGTCCAATGAAAAATAATATGATCTGCACTAAGGAAGTGATTACCACTCCATTCAAGTTTCTGGTTCCACTCACATGCATTGTGCTTTTCATTTCAGTCATTTGTCCTGTACATTGCAGGGTCCAGATCCCACAATGGCTCTTTATTGGATGAGAGTTCTGGGAACAGTGCCACTCAGCTGCATGGTGCCAGGTCCTGAACCCGTGCCTTCTTCGGTGGAGGGCTGGCACATGCAGACAGCTTTCATGTGGGCAATCTGGGAACTTCAGGGAAGCCAGGCCTATCAAGTGTTAAGACTCCCACCCCACAGTTTAACCAAGAAAAAGTACCTCAGACAGGAAGTAAAATTAGCCAGAGTTGAATGATCCATACAAATGGATGCTCTGATCTTGGTAATAAAAATTTATTTTCTCCAGATCCATATCCTTTTCCTGCATTATTGTTTTGTGTCTGTTCCTATGACAGAGTGAGTTTTTTAAACTATTATACAAAAAAAAAAAAGTCAGGATTTTGGCCATGAAAACATTGGATTTATAGACAGAGGGTTTTTACAATCCACAGAGAAAAGACTTTCAGTCCTCACAAGAAAGTATTTTATTGACGACTGGTACCCAAACCTCAAGACTGTATTTCCCACTGCAGGATTTGGCCCCCGTCTGCCTCCTTCTCAGACTAGTTAAACTTTCATACTACAACCTTGTTCCTTCACTTCTTTCTTAGGATCTTCTTTGCACTTCTTTGCTCTTGAAGAGCAGAAATGCTATTGTAGAAATATAAGGCACTGTATGCTGACATAGTTTACGGTTGTCTTTTTCATGAGATAACAGAGTGGCTAGCAGCTCCTCTTTTCTATCAAGGACGGTACTGCTGGCTCAGGAGAGCAGTAAGCAAACAACCCTATACAAAGCGAAATCACTCTTTTCACTACAAAAGTGAGCTGTGCTGCAGAAGAGCAGCTCTGCTGCTGAGCAGGGCTCTTCATGTCTCCTATTGTTCCTGAAAAACAGAATCAAAGAGGACAAGACTCTGACACACAATGCTGCGGCATTAGGAGCCATTTTCAGAATAAAAAAGTAATTGGTTAGATGAAGGATGCCACAATCAACAATTTTTTCCCACAACTGGAGATATGAATTTTTCTAAAAACCCAACCAATTCATGGCTCTGATATGGGGCAGCTCTACCTATCATGAGACAAATTATCAAGTGACTCTGACTAAGGGAATCTCTGACAAGAGCCAAGCTGAAAACGCTTCAGGAAACCTGAGCTAGAAGATGCCTTTCTGACACTGGGAAACAAAACCTCAGTGTGTGGAGGAACCCAGGGTTTTGTGTTGAGCCCCAGTCACCAAGGTCTGAGAAGGCTGGGTTTACATTGGCCCCGCTATTTTGGCCGAGGCATAAGGGGAAGTGAAAGGTTGTTGTGAGGACCTGCTCGGAATGTCTTTCTGGAAGCTTGGAGAGGGTCTCTCAATTGCCAAAATCTCCATGGGAAGCCATCTTCACAGCTGCTTGGGAGTGGGCAATATTCGTCATCATTTCTGCCCCATTTAGAAGAATTTATTACTTTGTTTGCAAAAACCCAGAATCATCCATAGGACACACATTGTTTGTTTTTCCACTCCACACCAAAGGAGAGAGGCATTCCTGGTTAATCCAAAGATGCCAACTTCAAGACATTCTGAGAACTAGTTGGACAGAGCTCAAGGGTAGGGCAAATCAGATCAGAAGCGATGGGCTCAGGGCAAAAGCCTGCAAAGCAGCAGCCATGGAGGAAGGATGGGAGCTGGAGCTGCAAAGGGGGCCTCAGCGGAAGCTCTGGGCCTGCCCACGGTATCCCTTCTGCCCAATAGGACTTCAGTTTTCCTGCACAATAATTCAAATAGTTCTCATTTTTCTAGGCCCAGCTCACCTTATTGAGAAGTTTTGCTACTACCCCAGTCCATTATGAATTTCCTTTCTAGTCTATTTCAATTCTAGAGTCAGTATCACACAATCTAGCATTTGGTTAGTCGGTTGATTTCATTCACTATCGATAATTCAACATTTATTGAGTTCCTACTTTGGACTTTGTGCCAGATATACAAAAATGAATGTCACCGTTGTGTGGATTTTTTTCTTTGCATTTTTTTTTTATTGTACATTGGGTTCCACAGTACATGTGCACATCCTGCATCCTGTAGGATTGTTGTGTAGGTACATACGTGCCATGGTGGTTTGCTGTCTCCATCCCCCTGCTCACCCCCCCACCCCATCGCCTACATCAGGCATTTCTCCCAGTGTTATCCCTCCCCATCCTCCCTGCCCCCTGCTGTCCTTCCCCTCCCATTCCTTCCACCCCCAACCTAGCCCAGTCAGTGTTGTTCCCTTCCCTGTGCCCAAGTGTTCTCATTGTTCACCACCCACCTATGAGTGAAAACATGCAGTGTTTGGTTTTCTGTTCTTGCGTCAGTTTGCTGAGAATGATAGTTTCTAGATTTATCCATGTCTCTACAAAGGACACAAACTCATCGTTTTTTAATGCTGCATAGTATTCCGTGGTGTATATGTGCCACATTTTCTTTGTCCAGTCTATCATTGATGGGCATTTGGGTTTGTTCCAGGTCTTTGCTATCACAAACAGCGCTGCAACAAACATATGTGTGCATGTGTCTTTATAAGAATATGATTTATAATCCTTTGGGTATATACCCAGTAATGGGATTTCTGGGTCAAATGGAATTTCTATGTCTAGATCCTTGAGGAATGGCCATACTGTCTTCCATAATGGTTGAACTAGTTTACACTTCCACCAACAGTGTAAAAGTGTTCCTTTTTCTCCACATCCTCTCCAGCATCTGTTGTCTCCAGATTTTTTAATGATCACAATAACTGGCATGAGATGGCATCTCAATGTGGTTTTGATTTGCATTTCTTTAATGACCAATAACCATGAGTATTTTTTCATATGTTTGTTGGCTGCATGAATGTCTTCCTTTGAAAAGTGTCTGTTCTTATCCTTCACCCACTTTTGAATGAGTTTGTTTTTTTCTTGTTAATCTGCTTTAGTTCTTTGTAGATTCTGGATATTAGCCTCTTGTCAGAGGGGTAGATTGCAAAACTTTTTTCCCATTCTGTTTATTGCCAGTTCACTCTAATGATTGTTTCTTTTGCTGTTCAGAAGCTCTTAAGTTTAGTTAGATCTCATTTGTCTATTTTGACTTTTGTTGCTGTTGCTTTTCGTGTTTTAGTCATGAAGTCTTTGCCTCTGCCTATGTCCTGAATACTGTTGCCTACGTTTTCTTCTCGGGTTTTTATGGTGTCAGTTCTTATGTTTAAATCTTTAATCCATCTGGAGTTAATTTTTGTATAAGGTGTAAGGAAGGGGTCCAGTTTCTGCTTTCTGCATATGGCTAGCCAGTTTTCCCAACATCATTTATTAAACAGTGAATCCTTTCCCCATTGCTTGTTTTTGTCCAGTTTGTCAAAGATCAGATGGTTGTAGATATGTGGCATTACTTCCGAGGCCTCTGTTCTATTCCATTGGTCTATATCTCTGTTTTGGTACCAGTACCATGCTGTTTTGATTAGTGTAGCCTTGTAGTATAGTTTGAAGTCAGGTAACATGATGCCTCCAGCTATCTTCTTTTTGCTTAGGATTGTCTTGTCTATGCGGGCTCTCTTTTGGTTCCATATGAAGTTTAAAGTGCTTTTTTCCAGTTCTGTGAAGAAGGTCAATGGTAGCTTGATGGGGATAGCTTTGAATCTATAAATTACTTTGGGCAGTATGGCCATTTTCACAATATTGATTCTTCCTAACCATGAGCATGGAATGTTTTT